ACCACGACGGCAAATAACGAATATCTCACAGCTTTCGAAGCGGTCAATCGAAGAAAACTCGTGTGAGGCAGTGTCTTTAGATTCCATTTGCACCTCATTATTTTCTTGTTTCATAGGCTTCGCATTTGAAGTGTCGACTCCTATGCATGTATTCACAAACTCGGTAAACTGTTCCCGAAGTTTAGCCCTCAGCATCCCATTGCTGAAGGACGCTTAGCGGGAGCGAAAAACTGCGTGGCAGGTGAACCATGTCGTACTGGTGGCATGGCCGCACGTCTATGCACAACGTCCAGGATGAGGTAGAGCACCAACCAGCCCCATCGCACTCTGCGGAGGGAGAGGAACTCCCTGGCGAAACCGCACTGCACGCACCGTGCCGATCACCCGACTCCACACCCGCCAGCGATTCGAGCAGGTGTGGAAGATGCTGCGCCCCCCATCGCTCGAAAAAGGTCGGCGGGGGGACGCAAACCCCTCCCGGCAAGACAGCCTCCCTACCGGTCGAGCATAACGGCACGTCGTACTCAGGGCGCTCCCGCGGTACCATCGCCCTGAGTGGAATCTCGCGGTTGGCGAGCGCTGCCTCGCCACACGCGGAACACTCCACCCGCTTCGAACGAAGCTCCACCACTTTCATCGACATTCGCAGGCCGTCGAAGATTAGCATGCGGCCGCTGAGCGGGCTCCCGACCTTCGCCGCCAGCTTGAAGACCTCAAGCGCCTGCAGGCAGCCGATCATCCCGGGGACTGGCCCCATCACCCCGACATCCCCGCAGCTCGCCACCCCTTCCGCCGGCGGCGGCTGCGCGAAGAGGCAGCGATAGCAAGGCCCGTTTTCGTACCCGTAGACGGCGAGCTGCCCATCCCACCGCACGGCGCTTCCACTCACCACCGGCTTCCCCAGCCGCATCGCGGCGTCGTTAATCAAATACCGCGCCGCAGTGTTGTCCGAGGCGTCCACCACCACGTCCGCCTCTCGAAGAACCCCCTCGGCGTTGTCGGGCGAGAGCCGCAGTTCCACCCCTTCCACCACGGCCTCGGGGTTGAGCGCGAGACAGGCCTTTAGGGCGCTCCGCACCTTTGGCAGGCCGAGCTGATCCGCGGTGTGGAGGACCTGACGGTGCAGATTCGACCGCTCCACGCGATCCCAGTCGACCAGGGTGAGCCCCCCAATGCCCCCTGCGATGAGGTAAAGCGCGACGGTGCTGCCGAGGCCGCCGAGGCCGACGCAGACGACGCGCGTGCGGCGAATGCGCGCCATCCCCTCCGCCCCGATGCCTTGGCAAAGCATCTGCCGCGAGAATTGCTCAATCTCGGCTTGGGTGAGCGAGGCCGCGGTGGATTCGAAGTGAATCGCCATTTGGGAGACGGGTGTAACAAATAGAATGGGAAAATGTATTAAGTTCTCGCAAATAATTTTGAAAGGACTACGATAAAATGTAAATTACAAGGTTCCTATGCTAAAATTATCGTGAGATAATTCATACTTGGAAAGGAAGAGTATTCGCATTAACCATGAAGGTATACAGGGTATGAGGATACACCGGAA